AAAAAGCAGCAGAAGGCCCTAGCAGACGCATCGCAGCTTTTGGGGGGGAGGAGCAAGTGTTTTTTCACTGCCTCCTTTTGGTTTTTGGGAGTTGTCTCCTCCTTTGTCTTGGAGCTGCTGCTTACAAGCTCGAGGAGACAGAGCGATTGGAGGCCTGCCTGTTGCAGCATCTCCCTGCATACGGTGGCTAGCTGGAGGCGGAGACAGTCGAAGAGAGTTGCTGGGGAAGGGGCGGTGAAGACAGCAAAGCAGCGGAGGAGACAGTGATAGAAGAGCTCGCGATAGACCGTCTCCTCGGGAGCCTTCAGGGCCTCCAGGTGATGGAGGGAGGGGCTAGCTAGTAGCTGCTCTAAGGAGAACAGAGTTGTAGCAGGCGAAGCAGCAGCAGCAGCAGCAGCAGCGAACGCTGCAACAATCACAACAAAACGGAGACACTCCACCATAACGAGCCAAAAGTCAAATTGTAAGAATTAAACAAAGACAACACAACTCGACTTGTCTTTATTCTTTCCCTATTAGGTCGAGATAATATAATGTGATATAATGTAATAGAATAGAAAAAGAATGTAATATAACATAATATAATGTAATAGAATATAATGTAATATAATGTAGTATAATGTAGTGTAATATAGATTAGATTAGATTATACTAGTGTAGTGTACATATATAGTATAATCTAATATAATCTAGTGTAGTGTTGTATGATATAACGCAATATAATGTAGTGTAATATGAAACAATATAGTACCATATAATATAATATAATACTGTAATATATAATAATAACACAAACAAATAAACAACGCCACAGACACTCTGAAAATATTATTCCTCCCAACGGTGTTGTATCGCTGGGGTGTACGTACACTGCAAGGTCTCTAGGGCCTCTCTCTCAGCTCGCAGCCGCAGTAGATATTCTGTTAAGTTTCCTTCGCTTGCGTCCGTGTTGGGCTCTTTGGCGTTGTTTTGTGTTAGAGTATCAATGGAGGTGTCTCTTTGCGTGTCTCCTGGTGTACCCTGGAGGCTGCTGTCTCCCTCTTGCTGCTGCTGTCTCCTTGCTGCAACAGCAGCGGCAGTAGCAGCAGCAGCATCAGCGTGCTGCTGGAGACAGAGACGCATTGCCTCGAGTAGAAACTCCCCCGCTGGCGCCAGCTGTATCTCCGCCTCCTCCCTCTGCAGGGGACAGGAGACAGGTGTCTCCTGAACGAGTTGCTGCTGCAGCGAGTGGGGGTTCATGAGGCGCAGCAGCTGCTGCAGCACGTACAGGAGACGCTGTGAAGGAGACATGAGGAGACAGCTGGGTGGTGGCGACGCACGAGCAATTCGCGCAACTGTCTCCAGGGCGTCGAGGGTCCCTGCGTCTGCTGTCTCCTGAGGATCCGCAGAGTCCCGTTGTTCTCTGTCTCCTTTTACAAGCGACACCACAAGGGACGCTTCAGCCTGCAGCAACTGCAGCCGAGGCAGCAACTCCTTAAGAGGAGGGGAGACAGTTGCAACGTCAGAGAAGGAGACAGAAGGTACATCGGGTAACCCCACACTCATACGAATAGCCCATAGGCAGCAGTCGGTCTCCCACGGAGGTGTCTCCTCTTCTCTTGCTGAGGTGTCTCCTTCCCTCTCAGGACTAGATCGAGAGAATAAACGGAGGAGACACTCCCGCTGCAGCAACGCAGCACTCAGCAGCAGCAGCTCTGAGGTAGCAGACGGCTGTGCATGCAGAAAAGCCCCATCATCTGAGGCACCCCAGAGGGGACTCCTCATTATACATGCCTCCTATGGGTGTCTCCTACGATGAATGATAGATTGGATGGCTGCATCGCTTGCTGTTACTGTCTCCTTCTGTATCCTTGAGCCTCCTTCTGTCCCTTTCCACTCCGCATTGTCTCCTCCTTCTGCCNGTCTCCTGTCTTCTTTTGCATCCTTATTCTTTCCCGTGCGGCCTTCCTGTGCGTTTCCCCCTCCTTCTGTCGCGTGGTGTCTCCTTCTGTCTCTTTCTGCCTCCCCCTTTGTCTTTATGTCTCGTGTTCTCTCCTTCTACCTCCTCCTGTCTCCTTCTGTCTCCTATCTCATCCTGTCTTCGCAGCAGCTGTGCCCTCGCTCTGTCACCTCGAGGATAACCCTTAAGCCCCAAAATGTGGTGATTCTTCCTTGTTTATGTTTACAAAAAATTTAGTTAAACAACTGAAAGACAACGCACGGCATGAACCCGCTCTTGCGGGGTGTTGGAATCGCCTTCAAGAGACAACCCCACCGCTCCCGCTCGCGTGGGGTCACTACCCTGCAGCAGAGGAGACACCTGCTGTAGCCATCTCTTCTCATGAAATCAGAAAGGAGACATACATACATCTCATATTTCAATAGAAGGTAAAGCTTTAAAGGCCTGAAAGGCAAAGAGAACGGGGGCCCCAGGAAGGCAGGCAAACGGCCAGGGGCCCTTCACCTCTCGTCAGCTCCAGCAGAAGCAGCAGCAACGGAGACACACAACCGCCTTAAATATTTTTGTCTTCGGGGCTTCAGCAAGAAATGGAGAATGCATGCAACGGGAGTGAAAACCATGAGGCGGGCAGCCCGGACTCTGAAACCCTAAACCCTAAACCCTAGATCCTAAACCGTAAGAGATCGTCGAGGAGACAAAAGCAGTAGAACGCCCTAGGATACTCCTGATGTATAAATTTGGTATTAACAGGGAAAAGAAGACACTTTCGTGTTGTCTCAGGCAGCAGCAGTTGCTGCTAAGACAAATATAACCTACTAATGTTATATATATTCGACACCGTCCCCGTAAACAACAAACCCTAAACACTAAAAGCTACACGGCACCAAACAGAAGGCAATGCCTCGCTCTATACGCTCTACATGTTGCTAAGAAAGGACATTATGTTGTCTCGTTTACATAAAATTCAATAGTACTAATTGATTAATTAATTAGTTACTAATTAATATTAATTATTTCTATATCAACGAGACAACATGTGTATAAAAAAAAAGCGGGAAAGGGAAGCACAGTGAAAGGAGAAGTATACACATGCATACATATTTATTGTATGGGTTCATACATAGTACTATGTATTCAATGTATTTACACAGCATGCGTACATTTTACCTGCATCCGGTTATACAGATATA